AAGTTCGCCATACATCACTATTTTGTAGGGCTTGTCATTTTTAAGCTATATCGATTTGAAAAAAAAAATCGACAAAAAACTTTGACCCTTATCAAATGTTAGGCGAGATAAATTTTGAAAAAAATAAGTACTCAAAGTTGCTTAAAATTGCTAAATCTCCACACCCACAAAGTTTCATAAGGTTCTGAGAGGGTGCTGCCAACTCCGAAGACGAGTTGGCGTGAAATCCGTCTCAAGTCAGTTAAATATAACTAAGTTGATCAATTGACTTGCCTTGTCTAAACCCAGCTTTACGTGCATCGTAAAGTGCGATCTTTAGAAATCAGAGATAATTAATAGTACTAGTCAAATGGATAGTGGCATGCGATGGATTAAAACACGACAAACGTTCGACAACCCAGGCAAAGTCGGATATCAAAATACTATCAATATGATATCAAATCATGTTTTTGAAATCTTGTTGATAACATGTTTTGATATGCTATTTTTTAATTTCGGTTGAATTCATATTTTGATATTATTTTGATATTTATAAAAAAAATAATTAAAAACATAATTTGATGAATTGTAAAAAAAAAGCATCCACATTTATTACTGAAATCTACATTTTTTCAATTTTTTTTACGAGTCAATCAAGCATCCTGGCTGTTTTCTTTATGAACATCACAAAGATAATTATGATTTGTTCAGTTATATTTTACAACATTTATTGATATTAATCTACCTGCTCATTGAATTTTCAAATCGATGTAACTGATCGATATCGATAGAACTGATTGAAATATGGGTTTATTTTAATTTGAATAGATGAAAACTCATTGATAACATTCTTTGATTTTGAATCTTGATATAAACCAATTGATTTCAAAAGATTCAGATTACTAAATTTGATATCATGATATCAAAATAATAAGTAATTTAGTTGTTTTTTTTTGTTTTCCTATTAAAGTTATAATAACATATAGATTACTTATTATGTTTATTATTAACGAAATTACTAATATCAAAACGCATACATGGATTTGTTATCAAGAAAACATGATTTGTTATTTTTTAACATCCTTCATATACCATTTAGATCCCATTTTTATTATGATTACTGTTAACTCGACCACACGGTGGGAAAATTATGTTATCATTAACGCTTATATCAACATATCAAATGAAGTTTTCATTTTGTTTTGATTCTTTGCTCTACGAGCACTTTCCCTGGGCTTCTTCTTCTCCTTCGCATTTCAAGCTTATTGTACATCGCATATTGGCTTATTGCGTGCTCTGAACTTAGTGTTCTAGATTCACTTGCACAGTTATAAATTGAGAGCGTTCGATGCCAGTACCATTTTGCATTGATATAATTGTCATACTTCTTGCCCAGGGAAGTCGAGAAATTTTCCAACCCGAAAAATTCCTAGACCGGACCGGGAATCGAACCCAGCTACCTCCAGCATGGTCTTTCTTTGTAGCTGCGCCTTTACCGACTGAGCTAAGGGAGGCTAAGGGAGTTTTTTGTACACACAAAATCTAACGTATGACACACACTACGTTTAGCTTTACAATTAACTATAACTAAACAATAAACAAGGAGAAATTATAACTTAAGTTCAAAAGTAAAACCACGTTGTTTTAACTCACTTTACGAAACACTTCCACTGTAATCTGCGGTTCGGACGAAAGTGAAGCGAAACCGTGACCTTCAGATTAGGGAAGGTGTCCTCGGCCGAACTAAACGGAAGTTCTCTTTTCCCGCGAGCTTCTTCGAACTAGATCGGCAATGCGAGAGATTATTCTAATAGCTGGCCCTTCGTTTAAAGTCGGGTGTAGCCACAACTCCCTCTTTTCTCCACTTTTTCACCACCTTGGGAGAAATTGCACAAGGCCGCATGGCGTTACTCGCGAGGCATTATATTTTTAAAATAAATCGCCCAGTGTCGTTTTGCTACTGGCATAGTTTTTGGCGTATGGATTAGATCTACATATATCAGCCTAATTTTATTGATGGCTAATTTAATACTTTGACTATATGTTTTTAGTATTACTTCTACGTGAAGTCAACGATTTACATAGTTGAAGATGCTAATTTCAAATAACAGACTGTAGTGGTAATTTTTATACGATAGATGGAGTAGATGAAAGCATAGAGTTGATAGTTCCGTTAGAGTACGGCAGTGTGAAGATTGCATATAGATATTAGAATAGCGAGCTAGGACAACTTTTAAGGAAGGTACAAATCGGTTTTTTCATCTCTCTTTACCAAACTCCCCCTTTGGAGAGGGATGGTGAGGGGTGTCCCCCCCCCGCCACCACTGGCAAAAAGAGATGAAAACCGACCGCTCAAGTACCAACTGCGTGTTTGAAACAGTTCTACCGATTTTTTACCGCACTTCAGTTGTTATTTGAAGGAAGGCATCCAGTCGTAGGTTTGGAAATTGCAACTATTGTTTACCCCTACCACGTAGAAGTAATACTAAAAACATATAGTCAAAGTACATAACTTTGGATGGGAGCATACCATCAATTACTGTCAATGGTCGAAAGGTACAGTAGCAGCACCTACCCCACCCGTGTCCCCTCGAGATCGTCAAGTCGACGATGACAGGAGCACATATCGTGGTAGGGGTAAACAATAGTTGCAATTTCCAAACCTACGACTGGATGCCTTCCTTCAAATAACAACTGAAGTGCGGTAAAAAATCGGTAGAACTGTTTCAAACACGCAGTTGGTACTTGAGCGGTCGGTTTTCATCTCTTTTTGCCAGTGGTGGCGGGGGGGAACACCCCTCACCATCCCTCTCCAAAGAGGGAGTTTGGTAAAGAGAGATGAAAAAACCGATTTGTACCTTCCTTAAAAGTTGTCCTAGCTCGCTATTCTAATATCTATATGCAATCTTCACACTGCCGTACTCTAACGGAACTATCAACTCTATGCTTTCATCTACTCCATCTATCGTATAAAAATTACCACTACAGTCTGTTATTTGAAATTAGCATCTTCAGCTAATTTAATATTTGCGACATGGTGCGAAGGCTAGAATTGTTCAGCACTTAGAATGCCAAAAACTCATGCAAACCTAACATTTTATCAGATTTAGATTTAGTGTTACTGAAGGATTAAACTCTCTATTATCACCAAATTAATGAAATGACACATGTACCGTGTGGTGCCCGTTCATCGCTCATTATATTTAAAACGTTAGTATACTCATTTGTATAGGTGTCTAGAGAATATGTTGGCACTGTCCTTCGACATTATTATAGGAAAAAAACATTCCAATTAAAAGCTATCAAAAATGAATTTGAGGCTCATTAGTCATTGTTAACAAGGGTTCTATTCACTACTCATTCCATATTGGAAATATTTACTTTTTTACATAAATGTTTACATTTTATAATCAAATAAATGAAATAAAGATGTTTTTCGTCAAGGAAATTCAATGCAAGAGTAGAGTGGTTTTGTCTCTAATAGGTGGATTGGTTTTTATCTCCTGTGTTTCAAACAGGGTTTGTCCTCCATCTTTAATGTGTCACTTGATTTCAAAATCATAAAATTATCCAACTCATGGCAAGTAATCAAACCTCACTTAACTCATTTTTCGGTGGTAAGTTGAAAAATCGACCACTTTACACATTGTAAACCCATCTTAAGAAAAAAAAAACAAAACTGTACATGTATTTGTACTAGTCGACATGGGTTGACGAAACAAATAAATCTTAAAATCTAAGCTCTATAATATTTAAACAATTCCGCATTTTTTGTTTAACTGCTATTGTTTTTGAGACTGACAAACGAGTCTAATCATACCACAAAATTTAAATTCAATGTGCACAATTTTTGTGTACCGAGCTTGTTGATTTTTCCGGTCCCCTTCGCCCAGTGTACCTTAGTAAAAAAAAATAGCAATACATCGCAATAGTAATAAAAAGATAGCCCACTATCCGACACGTTATCGTAACGCACATGACTTTCGATGCAATATTTCACCCAAGCCTTATTTACCTGTAGCAAATTAGTTCTATTTAAAACTACCGACCACACCATTCTTTTCAAGCGTAGTCAACAATTAGATGTGTCAGCATGGCAAGCGGAATAATAACAGTGCTACTAGCAGTTGGTAACCATAAATCATTAGAGGACGTAGAGAAGAAATTCGATAGCTTTAGCTATAACTACCTGTACGGAAATTCAACTGGATACGTTCCCGATACGGTGGTTTTCGATCATAAGTATGATTTCATCGTTGTGGGAGCCGGAACGGGCGGTTGCGTTATGGCCAATCGGTTAAGTGAAAATCCAAACTGGAGCGTTTTGCTTCTGGAAGCTGGTAGAGAAGAAAATCTGTTGCTTACTGTTCCGATGACAGCTCCACTGAATATGAAAACTGGTAAGTATTTAATCAGTGAAAAGTCACACTTATGTTCCAACATTTGTCTTGCCAGACTACAACTGGAACTACCACCCCGAACCGATAGCAACGGCATGCACGGGTCTACCGAATGGGACGTGCCCATGGCCAAGAGGTCGTGGACTCGGAGGATCGAGCTTGTTAAATTTTATGGTCTACACTCGCGGTCATCAGCTCGACTACGATGACTGGGCAGCGGCAGGAAACTACGGTTGGAGCTACGATGACGTTTTGCCGTACTTCAAGAAAGGTGAAGAAAGCTATATCAAAATTTCACAAAATCCCTTTCAATCACCGTTACTGATCAAATTTTATAATGCAATGGAGGATTTCGGGTATCGAAAAATTGATCCCAACGAGGGCAACCAACTGGGGTTCTACAGACTCCGATCGACCATAAGCGATGGTCAGCGGTACAGTGCCGCCCGAGATTATTTACATCCTGTTAAAGATCGACCAAACTTGCACATATCTGTGGAATCGCGTGTAACCAGAATTCTTATCGACCCTGCAACAAAAACTGCTTATGGAGTAGAGTTTATGAAGCATGGTATTCTGCATAAAGTTCTAGCTAGAAAAGAAGTTATCCTGTGTGCTGGAGCAATAGTTTCGCCTCAACTGCTGATGTTATCCGGAATTGGACCAAAACAACACCTCGAAACCTTCAACATTCCGGTCATTCAATCTCTTGATGTCGGGTACAACCTGCATGATCACTGTTCTTACACCGAACTCAACTTTTGTCTCAACCAAACTGTTACCATGGTCCGAAACAAATCAACCGCCGACCTGTTCGACGAATACATTACCAACCATACCGGTCCATTCTCGATACCAGCACGTTTTGAATCGATCGCATTCTTAAAAACACCTCACTCGGACCTTCCCGCTGAACAACCCGACATTGAAATCCTCCTCGTTTCGACCTACCTGAATGGAGAAAATCACGATGTCGGTTTTCAGTTACTCGGACTACCCCAGATCCTAAACGGTAGCATCGTCATTAACTTTCCAGGACACGACAAGTTCAGTCTTTTCCCTATAATCATGCGCCCAAAAAGCCGAGGTAGAATTTCACTTAAAAGTTCCAACCCATTTGTGGATCCACTAATGGAACCAAACTATCTGAGCAACCAATACGATATCAGCACGCTAATCGACGGTATGAAAATCGCAATCCAACTAGCTGAATCGCAGAACTTTGCCGAATATGGAGCCACGCTGGATCCAACTCCACTGCCGGCATGCGATCACTTACCATTCCGCAGTGATCAATATTGGAGATGTGCCATCCGAGTAATGGGCAAAAACATTCATCATCAGGCCGGAACATGCAAAATGGGACCGGCAAGTGATTCAACGGCTGTGGTCAATCCAGAACTTCAAGTCCATGGCATTAGGAACATGCGCGTGGTTGATACTTCCATAATGCCAATACCGATAGCTGGACACACTAATGGGGTGACGTTTATGATTGCTGAAAAGGCAGCCGATATGGTCAAGCGGCATTGGGCACGTAGAGGGTTTAAGTGAATGCAGTTTATTTTTGTTAGACCTGTGCGCCGGTCAGTCCATCGGTGGCGGCGGTGTAGAAGCTGTTTTAGCCTCGGTGGCGGCGGCGGCGTCGTTCATTTTGCTGGCCATAAAAAATATTGCATTTTCAACTTGAATCCAAGTAAGGTAACATAAATGAAAAAAAAAATATTGTGCTGGTGTTTGGGACATGCTATCGACAACGCCTTCCTATCTTTTCGGAACAGTATCGAAATTAATTATATGGTTGGTTGGATGAATGCTCGATCCTTGTGCAGCAATTCCGTAGAGAAAAGTTAGAATGGATCTTGTTAATTTCTTATCGAAAAATATGTTTGTCCTATGATTGCTTTTTCTGCTTTTGCTGTATTTAAGTTGCTGTAAGAAAATAATACAGGAATCCCCGATTTACACTGCCATTTCTCCGCAATCTTTCAACCAATTGGGCTGATTTTTTGTATGTAATTGACACTCATAAGAAACAGCTCAATTCGTTGAAAAACTGTTGAGAAATGGCGGTGGGTAGACGGCATGACCCATCGCGCAAATCGGGGATTCCTGTATTATTTTCTTACAGAAACTTACAGCAAAAGCAAAAACAACACGGGAAAAAAAACCTTAAAATTAGATGCACATGTATGTATTGCACCATAAGAGTAGCCCCTTCCGTGTTAGGGTGGTCCAAAAATCAGCATTTTTCCAAATTGTTATTTTCCAATAACTTCACAAATCCATAACTTTTAAACCCCTAAAACGATTGTTTGGATCCAAGGTCAAATGAAATATTATTAAATATTGTTTCGAGGAAAAACATGGATATGAACTTTAATCGTGGTTTTAAATTAAAATGATTGATTATAGTCGAGTTTCATGATTTTCATGGTCTCGGGACTAAAGGCACTATTGTATGTAATATTTTTTCTTGATAATTCGGTGTAAAAACAACAAAACAAAAATTCAACGATGTATGTTTTTTTTTATTTCGTTTACTGAGCTACAATTTTTCAATAGTATTTTTTTAGTTTTCGCTCGTAAGTTGCTGTTAAAAACTTAATATTTTTCAAATTTTCAAGAAAAAATATAACATTCAATCGTGTCTTTCGTACTGAAACCAGGGGTTTCCGAGAACGTATTTCATAATTACCATAATGGTTCAACAAACTTTTTCTATCAAAGAAAGATATTGTTTTGATTTTCTTATGCGTCTTAAAGCGTAATATGCTTGTTTCATATTCCAATTTGGTGCAATTTGCGATGAATACTTATTTAGAAGGCTTTAATTTTCATCGTCGGCGTATTAAAAATTATAAAGAACGTGTCAAAAATGATCACAGCGGGGCGCTGACTCAAAAACATCGGCGGCGGCGGCGGCATGTGAAAAAGTGTCGGTGGCGTTGGCGTGGCGCGGTGGCGCACAGGTCTTTTGTTTTGTAAATACGAGATTACAACTTAATGGAATAAAAAATGACTGTTTGTTGAATTTAATTTGACCGTGTAAGTATAACCTACTCACTCTTTAATGATGACGTCTTTGTTAGTTGGTCTAAGGTCTGTATCCACAATAATCCGGCCACATCAAAACTTAAATAAAACACAAATTTCGCATTATATTTCAATTGTACGTGTTTATTTCAGATTCATGGGATATGATTTAAAAATTCATGAAGTCAAAACGTAGTTATTCGGTATTTGCATAAAAATTTCGAACTTTGCGCTTAACTCCATCCATTAGGGTTTGTGGTGGCCGTCTTTGTCCAAATTTGTTGGAAGTGTTTTGTATCTTTGATTCCTTGTTTCTTTCCACTTGATTTCCTTCTTACCACTCCATCGCAGTTTTAGCATAATGACATGATGCCAAATCGGGCCGGAACAAAGGGTTTTCTTTGTGGTCTGCAGGCACTCTTTCTAGTAAATCTCCATGTTAGTCGTGCCTGTAGTGACGAAACATTTACCTTTTCGGTCACATGTGCAAATTGCTTGCAAAATAAGGTATTTTTTGGGAAATTTCGATGCAGGACGTAGACTGAAATACTCAGCTGTAGCATTTTTGGCCATAGCAGAATAGAAAGCCAGCCGAGTACGCATTTGGATTTCAACGTTAGCAGCTCAGGCTCTTGCCGTGCTCTGTGTGTGCATTTTTTCTTCCCTTTGCGCACGCGCGTTTGTTTTTTGTCGCTGGAGTTGTCGGTTCTGATTTCGGTGTTGGTCACGAGTTGATTTGGCCGGTGAGGAGCTGGCACGGCGTCTTACAGACTATGTACTGGCGAACTGATACCGTTGTGATCCGTATGATTGGTGATGGAAAGTGGATGCAGTCCTTTTTTTCTCTACTGAGCAGGGGTTGAAACAGTTGACGTTTTTTACTACACTCGCTTCGTTGTCGTGCGCGACAGTCTGTTTGTATTCGAACACTCATGCTCTACCGTCGTCTCTCTCACACAACACGAGTGGTAGAATAACATTCGAGCTAAAAGAAAATTATCAAAATAGCTATCATATGACATGTGTGATATCGTTGTAATTCCTCAATTTGATGTAAATCAAACCATTTTTGATCAGAAATATTATTACTAGGACATCATTGCTTGCTATTTTCAGAATTCACACAAGCACACCATCAGCAGCTCTTATTATGAGAAAAACAAAATACATACATTCGTGACGGTCTTCGGCGACAGTGTCGTATGACAGAGCCTGTCATACGACATTTTAGTTTGGTACTGTACTATGATAGCTTGTTTTGCAAGTGTCAAATATCACAGAAAATGTGTCAACTACCGTGACCGCTTACAAGACTGCTACTGAGATCCCTTTGGTGCAGCTAGAGTGTGTGTTCATGATTGATGGGACTTACTTGACTTAAAATGATCTTTATGTCTTGTATTTATGTAGTTCACATGTATGACTTATCAAGGGACACAGATTATCAAATACCATCCTCAGCACTCTAAGTTATTTGTGGGGGGTTTACGCTGCTGTGTGAGGAACGAAAGGCGAGAGTGCTGTTTTTAACACCGGTTGAAAAAGTAGCAGCAGCATATCTATGGGAGCTCTTCGAAATTATTGTGATATCATGGATTCCTCTGCAACATATCGGGTGAGATCTTTCCTTTATTTTTCTCTTAACTGTCATCCCATTATGGGATGGTCCACCAGGGCACCCGATTGAAGCAAAATGGATGGGGAGAGTGGAAATGCCTACTCCCTGTCTTTAACATTTCGTGAAAAGAGGGCGGGCTCTTCTTCCCACTCATTGGGACATCCTCTTGTTGGATAGCCTGTTTTTTGACCGATTGTATGATCCTGTTGGCGGAAGGAGATTCTCATCAATCCCGTGAATGCACGTGAGCGATGTTGCCTACGGATTCACCGAAACCGTTTTTGGTCCTTCATACAATGGCAGCTTGAATACAATTAGAGGTTATTAAACTTGGTAAAGTCGAACAGCGAGGATAGTCGACAGTTATCTGTCAGTGCTACAGTGAGTGGTAGTTCCATATCATATCAATAGAAAGTCAGCCCTGGAAGCTGCTTGAAATCCTCCAAGACATAAGTTTCATCGTCCATAATAACGCATGAAAACTTCATCAAATATTCGCAGTACAAACATAGAGGTAACTCTAAGACCAGAAGGTCCCGAAGAAACGAGCTCAACTTTTTGGCTCAGCTCTGGTACTATATTCGGTTCCAAGCTAATCAATTCACCCCTCGAAACATAGGAAAATCCACTAACCCCTCATTTTATCTGTCAAACTTTCATAGCGAATCAAAACAAACATTGTGTAGTAGTAGAATTTCGACTAGAATGGGATACGTTAATTGTTTGCTTGGGACCAATAGGCTAGTCAAGTAGTGAGCCAATTTGAAATCGTTAGTTTTGTATTGATTGTTGGTACAAACGTCGAACCCGTGACTTTGCTGTCAAATTCTGTTTGTCGTCGTGATTTGGAACTGTTTTTACTTAATACGACTTCAGTCCTAAACGATGTTTTGAGTTTTGGACAAAACCAGATGACATTCCTATTTTACGAGCCACCGTTCGAACAGAGCGATTCGGGTTTTCCTTCAATATCCTCTTCACTTTTCGGTCTATGACTGGATCAGCACGTCCAATGTTTTTATCACTTCTTGGTTTCCTCTCGACTGTCAAACGTTCCGAAAATGATTTGAGCACACCATGAACAGTGGATTTAGGCTAATCCAATTTTTTGCAAGTTCCCGTATTGACAAGTCAGGATTTGCATTACGTCCGTACAAAATCCGCTCGCGCACGTGTTTTTCATTCGTCGCCATCTTGAACACTGAACATGGAATGTAAACACCAATCATAGTATTTTCCATCAATGACTCCCAGCTATATCACAGAGAAAATTTTCACTCCTACGTGCAAAAGTTACAGTGATTTGAAGGTTTGCGGATTAATGTGGATACAGACCGTATTTTAAAATTATTTTTTTCCATAGACACTTCGTACACAGGTATATCCAAAATGGATAACGATTGTCGGACTAAGACTGTGATACAGAAGCCAGGGTCAATCTAGGGTAAGAGAGAAGCGGATTCAAAACAAACTGCCATGGATACCTAAAGCCTAGGCATTTTGTGTGTTCGTGAGATTGTGCTTGGAGATCTTATCTTTTTTAAACAAAAATAAACTAAATTTGAGTTGACTTCTTTTTTAAGCGTTTCACCCTTTATTTGAAAATATCATCAAAGGTTTCTAAATATTAAGGAAAAATACTAATATATGCTTGTTGTGCTGAACAATGATTTTCCTACGGGTACTTTTGAGTTCAACTTGATATTTTGAAACATTCAGCCAAGGTGTCCCACCGAAGGGGGAATTCAAGGCGCGACCAACCAACATAACCATCGGGTAAGGGAAGTCTACCCGATGACTATGTAGATTTAAATGGACGAGCTTTGACTTTCGAGATATCATCAAGAGAAGTCATTGTTTACAAAAATTGTTACGCCCAAATTCCAGATCTATCTAGAGC